ACTTTCTACCTTCCAGAACTGTGAAAGGGGAATTTCTACCGTTTATACAATCTCTGGTTTGTTGCATTATAGCAGCTCTAAAGACCTAAGGCAACTTGATACTCAGAGCCTAAGACAAACTACTTCCTTTATTTCTATGATGGTTAAGATCATATGCTACATTGTTAAGTCATTCACAGATTTCATTTAACGTCCTGGAAGTGTCACCCTCTTTGAGGGCCCCTGAGTAATAGTGACAGATGTCCATGTAGTCAACTTCTTGTTCTTGTTAACATAATAACTCCTGTATAAAACCTATTGATGGAACTGAACTTGAATGGAAGTCTACTTAACTCTAAAGCTTAGGGTGTTATCACTTTGTAGTTTGGTAATGAATCTGGTAAACAGAGAGTAGTTATCTACCTTAATATATAATAGATACTTCTGAGGAAGACACCAAAATCCTAACCCGGTAAAAGTATTCAAGGACGAATAAAAGCAAACTTCTGAGAATTTTTATACAGAATAATACAGGCATGTAGTAGATAGTAAATAATTATTTATTTATTGAACCATCATAGTCACTACCTAATAAGCATTTACACTACTGAAGTGTTGCAGGTTTCATGTTGTGTGTGTGTGTGTGTATGTGTGTGTGTGTCACATGTGGACAGGTGCCTGTGGAGGTCAGCAGAGGTTGTTGGGTCCCCTGGAACTGGAGGCACAGGTGGTTGTGAGCCACATGACATGGGTGCTGGGAACCAAATTCAGGGCCTCTGGAAGAGCAGCCAGCACTCCCTCTAGCCTTCCTGTTCTGTTTTTATGTAACCACCTGCAACGTGCCAGTCGGTTCTCTTTGGAAGAAGCATACACCTTTGTGTTACATAATTTTTCCTCTTGTCTTTTCATTTAAAAAAAGCAACCTGAGATCTTATATTAAAATACTTAAAAAGTAGTGGGTGCATTACCTGGTCTTTTTCCCTCCACCCTTTTACATGGCTGTCTCCTGACTGGCTGATGTCATCACTGGTTTGAACTTTGTCTCATTAGATATGTAGCTTCAGAATGCATTGGCTTCTAGAAAACACAGAAAATTTGAAAGAACAGTACAGTGAACATCTATAGTCAACTATTTGAAAGTAAATAGCAGACACCATGGCATTTCAACTTTAAAAAAATGTTATTTTTATTTTATGTGTATGAGTGTATTGCCTGCATGTATGTGAGTGCACCCATGTTGTGCAATGCCACGGAGGTCAGAAGAGGGCTTTAGATTCCCCTGGAACTGGAGTTAAGGATGGTCATAGCCACCATGTGGGTGCTGGGAATCAAACCTGGGTCCTCTGCAAGAGCAGTCAGTACTCTTAAATGCTGAGCCATCTCTCCAGCCCCCATTTCAACTCTTAAGACTACAAAATATATGTAATACAGGCATATATTTTGCCCCACTATATAGATTTGTAGATTTGTTTAACTACATGATTAGATTTATTTTAAACTTGATGGGAATTCTATGCAGGCTAGTGTTTCTCAAAAATTCTGGCTTCATAATTCCTTTATTTACTTGAAAATTACCCAGATCCCAAAGACCTTTTGTATATGTGAATTATATCCATCAGTGTTTACCATATTATTAATTAAAACTGATGTTATAAGGGCTTGCTTGAGAGATGGCTTAATGGTTAAAAGAGCTTGCTCCTCAGTCAGAAGGACCAAAGATCAGATCCCAACACCATGCCTGGTGATTTTTCAAATGACATAACTTTTGTTCCAGGGAATCTGACCCTCTTTATTTTTACCTCTGCAGGCACCAGAACACACATACACACATACATACATACACTTACACACACACACACACACACACATTCACACATAAATAAAATCTTTTTAAAACTTATGTCATAGATTTTTATGAAAAATTTTGTAGTGTGTGTGTGTCTGTGTGTGTGTGTGTCTGTGCACGTGTGCATGTGTGTGTGTGTGTGCATGTGTGTATGTGTGTAAGTGAATCCTCTGGGTGTGGGTGCCTGCTGAGGCCAGAAGAGGGCATCTGATTCCCTCGAGTTTGAACAGGCAATTGCAAAGCACCCAGTGTGGTTGTTGAGAACTAACTCTGGTCTTTGGAAGAACAGGAAGTGCTCTTAACCAATGAAACATCTCTCCAGCCCCTTGACATTTTAATTTTTGAACCTTTTATTTCCTCATTAAAAAATAGCAGTCCCATCAGATATTAACTTTCCAAACCAAAAAATTCAATGACATAAGAAATGAAATTGTGATAATAGAAGTTTTTATCCATGTAATTGCTTTGTTCAGGCTTCATGATCTGTAACAAAATATAGGCATAACAGATTCTGTTATTTTAAAATAAAATCAATATATACTCATATCAGAGGCCAAAAGAGAATGGTATTGTTTTATATGTATGTAAGTTATTTTAATGTCTGCCTTCCCAGAAGACAGCTAGAGACCGAAGTCCATGTCCAAATTCAACCTATTGCTTTGGTTGAAGCCAATGACAAAGCGGCCCCACACAGATATGCAGATGTAAAAGGAGGGCTTTGATTGCCTTTTTAGACATCACCTGTTATTTTTAAAGGACTGTCAAATGATGCTTTTCTACTTTTATTGTCCCTTCTGATTTTATCTCCCATAAATCACTTTCATAGTGCTTTCTTTCTTCCAAAAGGCAATTTGACATTCGCAAAGTACAATTTATAAAGGGAGTCTTAAGCTGCATAATTTCTTAAATTTTAATAATTAGTTTTCAAAGTGACTAGTTTGTACCTAAGCAACTTCTAGAGCATTCCAGTGAGTTTTGCGAATTTCTCTTTTCTTTTCTTTTTTTTTTTTTTGCATTATCATGATTTTTATATGCTCAATGTGTTTTAATCAACTTGATTTTATTCCAATTATCTTTGGCCAGTGTCTTAGTTCATTTTCTGTTGCTAACAACATAATGTTACAGTTTGGGTAAACTGTAAGTGGAAGGGGTTTGTTCTGGTTCACAGTTCTGGTCCAAAGAGAGGGAAATTTGACCACAGTGCAAGACTTGTGCAAACATTTTGGTTACCGAAATGAGATTGTATTTTGATTAAGAACGGTGCAGTTTATGAATATCATCTAGTGTTAATATGTCCAGTTTCAGAGTCCTGAGGCACTGAGGACTACCACATGGTAAAACTAGAGGCAAAATGGTTTTATAGCAAGGCCCTCTCCTGACATAATCTGTGATTCCCTTAACCCATCCATGACATGTGTAGATTAATCCATTGTCAGAGGCATAGCTCTAGTCACCTCCCATGTGCTCTACCTGTTTACACCTCTTTCTTAACGTCTCTCAGTGGGATCAGATATCAGCATGAGTTCTGAAAGGCAAAAGCCACATTCAAACCATAGCATCAATCAGCTTTGACACATTTTTTAATTAGCCCCCAATAAAGTCAAATTCTCTGCCACAACAGAGGATCCCATTTCCTGCACACCATCATCAGTCACTTCTCCAAGTGATACACATAAAAATATTACACACAATAATCTGAATCCTAGTGTCCATTGCTACAGGCACTGCATTTTTACTTCTGTATTGTTTCAGTGGACAGACCTAGAAAATATAGCTTTTGAAAAATTGAGGGGGGTCAAGAATTTATATCACAATTTCTCAACACTATAATATAGGCATCTGAGAACAGATAATTCACTGTTGTGGGTGTTGTCCTGTGCATTGTAAGATATTTGACATGTGCTTTGACTCTCTTCCTACCTAAGAATATCAAAGTTGTGTCCAGCCACTGTGAAATGTCTTCAAGACTGTTGGGAAAAATGGCTTTTCACTGTTCTGTTTTCCCTTCAGATTGCATAAATCTTTTGCCTTTTACAAAACTGCCTTTAGCTGAAAATTGTTAGAAAATACTTATATTTCTTGCAGCATTAAAATAAGCACTGTAGGGGCTGGAGACATGGCTCAGTACTTAAGAGCACTCGTTGCTCTTGCAGAGGACCTAGGTTTGGTCCCCAGCATCTATATGGCAGCTAGCAACTGTTCATAACTCCAGTTCCAGGGGAACCCGACACCCTTGTTGACCACTGTGGGCACTGCATGACTCAGGTGCACTTATACACATGAAGGCAATACACTCATACACATAAAAATTAAAAATAACAAATAAAAATGTTAAAAGATAAAATAAGCACTATACTAGTTACTTTCTTTTCACAGTTGTGACCAAATATTTGACAAAACAATTTAAAGGACAAAAGGTTTGTTTTGGCTTACAGTTTAGGAGTTCGGTCTGGACACATGGCCCAGCTTGGGTACATCAGAGCAGCAGAAACACGTGGAGGAAGAGGCAATTCACTGCAGAGAGAACAGAGAATAGAGCGAAAGGAAAGGACCAGGAACATGTGTCACCTTCAAATGCATGCCTCCAAGGAAACTAGCATCTCCAATAAGCCCCATGTCCTAAAGGTTCGCAGCGCTCTGAAAATAGCACCATTATCAGGGTACCAAGCCTTCAACACACGAACACATGACAGATATTCACATTCAAACTATAAGCATCACCTAATTGTTCTATCTGTCAGTTCCACACAGCCACTGCAGTCTCCCATGGGCACCTGCTGGGGAGACACACGACGCGTGGTACATATTATGTCAACCTTTAAAGGCTGTAGTTTCATTTCGGTGTGGTACCTGAAATCCTCCTTCCCACTCAGACTTTAAATGCTGGACTGGTTAGCTCTTTTCCCACGCAACTGCCAAATATTGGTAACTACAATTTCCTCACTTATATTTAAGTATCTGTTTGAATATATTTTCTGCTTACCATCACCTCCTCTGGGCGCTGAAGTCACAGGAGAAATGCTGGTCTGGACTGTCTCATTTCCAGCCATGATGGCCAGCAAGAGGTCAGCTGTAAAGCTCATGTGTTTGTTGATGTGTTCTGTTCTTTATTTCAGTCATCCTTGACTGGGGTCTTTAGAGCTTGTACATAACGTGTGCTCTTTTCACTTTTTAGGGCAGCATAACTATTTATGTGCTGGAAGAAATGACTGCATTGTTGATAAAATCCGCAGAAAAAACTGCCCAGCATGCCGCCTCAGAAAGTGCTGCCAGGCTGGCATGGTCCTTGGAGGTAATGCTGATGTTTTATCGATAGTATTATGTAATACATTTCTACCATGACGCTGTGAGTTGGAAACATCTCCATCTTATTCACCACTATTCATGGTTTGTTTTTTTCTCTTTTTAATGGTGACCATTCACAGGACTATCTGAACGAAACAACCAATAACAGGATCCCTTCAGCGCTACAGATTTGTAGCATGTTGAGGTCTGTTAGGAGAAAGAAACTCCATTCATCCATGTGTTGTATCAGTAAATATTATGGGCAGTGCACTCTAAGGTAGGTTAGAACCTACCTCTGCCACACTGCTTGTGTGACTGAGTAATTCACCTAAAGTATTTGGGTGTCAGGCTTTTTAATCTATCAAACAAGTGTACTTGAGGTCCCTTCCAGCTCAGAATTTGATTCTGAAAATTGGTCAGACACAAATTAAACAGTGAGAAATTAGAGCAAGGTTACTTGCCTAAGAGTGAAATACATTTCATAGAGATGTATCACTAATTTTCTTTCCATAATTTTGTTGCTATTATAATCTTTAAAACTTTCAATGACATAGTAGTAAATAAAGTCAGACCAGTGAGATAGCTCAGTGGGTAAAAACACTTGCCACCAAGCCCAGAGACACATAGTGGAAGGAGAGAGTTGATTCCCACAAGCTGTCCTCTTACATCCACGTGCATACACACTCAGACACACACACACACACAAAATAAATAAATAACAGTTTAAATATTGAAGTTACAGACTGGTGAGATAGCTCAGTGAAAGCTTGCATTGCAACATGAGGACTTGAGTTTAATTCCCAGAACTCACACACACCAAAAAAAAAAAAAAAAGCTGGGCATGGTGGCATGGGTTTGTAATCCCAGTGCTGGGAAGGCAAGGACAGTGACCTCTGGGCCTGAGTGGCTGTTGAGTCTAATGTACTTGGCAAGCTCCAGGCCTGTAATAGACACTATCCTCCACAAAAAAAGGTGGGAAGCACCTGAAGAACAGTATCCAAGGTTGTCCTCTGGCTTCCACAAGCACATGTGCACACACACACACACACACACACACACACACACACACACTCACACATATACCACAAAAAGTTAAAATCAGATTTTAAGAAATTGTTTGAATGAAAAAAAATAAAAAACAGAGTGGAGATCAAAAGAGTTGGAGTGATGGAAGGCAACTCTTCCTTCCCTCCTTCCTCCCTCCCTCCTTCCTCCCTCCCTTCCTTCCTTCTTTACTTTAGTCACATCCTACACAGCATTGGCTAGGAATCATAACTTTTATATCTGTGTAAAACTTTCAAAATCATTAAGAAATATGCACCCACGTATTGAAACTAAAAACATTTTTAATTATCTAAAAGCAGCTTGAGTTATGTTAGTGTCATGCAATTTTTTCCTTTTGAAAATGTTATATTTAGACCATATTTGTCAAATTTAAAGCCTCACCCCATTCCTCCCTAAAGTTTCTGCCAATGTGCTTAGACAAAATTAATGCCCATTCAACATGTTGGTCATTTACAGTAATTCACTTAGTTAGAGTATTCATAACATTTATGACTTCATGATTAAAGGCTTGTCTTTGCTAAGACAAGGGCAACTCCCAGGTCTCAAACATATCCACAACAATGCCTTGCTTTTGGAAGTGCTCAGAACATAGTTACTAAGTCAGTATGCCCACACTCTCAGTAATTTTTGAGTCCTGCACCTCAATTTCCTCCTCTTTATATTTTGGATTTACCTCAGAAGTTTCTGCAAATTAGAAAACCCTGACTACTTCACAAATCACATGTCGCTGAGGAGTCAGGTGTTAAGACGTTAAATGGAAGGTGTGATGACGCTGTGACACCGGCCCTGCTCCGTCTCTGCTTTCTCTATTTCCTAAGAGGGAACAGCAGGGTCTCCAACTCTGTGACCCAGGTTCCATCAGGATCTATAATCTCAAATATTCTCCTAAATGACTGAGAAAGACTCTTCCATTTGACCACAGAATAGAAGTGGAGCTCTGGATTAAGTCTTCGGAATAATTCTGATGACCTAGAAAACGTCATGTCTCATAATATTCTAGGCCTTTGGACCATCATCCAAGCTTCTAGAATCTTTCATCATCCTTTTCATCCAAACCTCTCATTCCTTTAATCTATTATTCAAATGCTTCCCAAATCACACTGTACCATGTGCACAGTCATCTCTACACTTGGACATCTTCTACATCATCACTTGCTTAGATTCCTAACTTTCTCCTGACTGATTTCTCTTTCCTTTGCCTTTACCCCATTCTTCCCTCCCTCCCTTCCTTCCTTCCTTCTCTCCCTCCCCCTCCTTCTTTCCTTCCTTCCTTCCCTCCCTCCCTCCTTCCTTCCTTCTCTCCCTCCCTCCTTCTTTCCGCTTCCCTCTTCCTTCTTTTCCCCCATCATTTCCTTCTTTGCTCTTTCATTCTTTATAAAAATATTTTGTTTACTTTGCATAAATGTATATAATGTGTTCACTCCCTCCCTCCCTTCCTTCCTTCCTTCCTTCCTTCCTTCCTCTTCTCCTTCATTTCCTTCTCCCCACATCCTTACCTCAAGTCATTTTCAATAACTATATAGAGCCCTTATTATGTTTTTAGGTTCCACTCTAAATCCTGTAATTAGACTAGCAAATAAAATTAACCAAAACCTGGTCCTCAGGGGCTGTGCCTTGCACTGGAGGGAAGTAATGCACATGTCAATTGGTGAAAAGTGTTGTGAACAACATTAAGCAGGTTCATTGACATGAGTGTCAGAAAGAGGGGTCTTTGGGGGAATGTGGGTAACAGAATATCTAATGCATAAACTCAAGAATGACTTAAAAGAATACAAAAATGCACTCACTGGTTTGGAGGTATTGCATCTTTTGTCTTATGCTTCATAAACACTTATTTAAGCTAATTCCATGTATCTTTGGTAGTGTGGTTTTGATTTCATAAGAGCCACCACATTAGCTAGCTAGTCACCTTCAAGAGTGCATTATCATTTTATCAAAAATGTCTGTTAGGTTGCATTTTTAAACCATGTATAGAACCATAATTGGAAAATTATCATAAGACAAAATACATATATGATAGTTTAATATTTGTCTTGTGAATTTTGGGGACTCTCCACAATTTAATAACTTGCTGTATTTACTTATTTATGGAATAATTGAGTGTACCAAAATGTTGAAAAACTAAACTTTAAAATCACCCATGTATACATCACTCAGTTTGTAATGCCTGATCTTTCTTTTATTATTTTATTTAAATTTTTATTTATTATTTTATTGTTAATGTTTATTTTTATTGAATTTTTGTGCATTTTATATAATAAATCTTAATCCTATTTAGACCCCCTTCCCCAGACACACCCCCATACCCTCCCCCACTGGGCTTCATGCATTCTGTCATGTATGTTAAGGCCTATTGAGTTAGACTTTTGTACGCAGATGTCCCTAGGTTCACCCATTGGAGAGTAGTCATCCTATTTAGAGTTTCTCCCTTAAAGAAAATCAGTTCTCCCTCATCTAGCAGTAATCAGTTACCAATAGTTCCTCAGCTAAGATTGAGGCCTCCTACCCAGTTCCTCTGTTCTATGCTGGGCTTTTGTCTGATGAGTCTGCATGGGTCTTATACATGCTGTCACCATTGCTGCAAGTTTACACGAGCAAGTTCCCAGAGGCCTGAAAACCTCTCTTGCTTTATGTTCATGCACCAACCTGGCCTCTTACAATCTTTCTGACCTTTCTACCACAATGGTTCTGCCCTGGGTAGCTGAAGTTTAATATAGGAGTCCTGTCCAGGGACACACACTCTGCAGTCTCTTATTCTCTATACCTTGGCCAATTGTGGCCTTCTGTGTGCATTGTACTCTGATGCATGAGGAAGCTTCTCTGGTGAGAGCTGAAGGATGCATTAATATTCTCTCTACCTCCTGTTCCACTATGTTCCATGAGCCATAGGTATAGAAGTTCCACTGTAGATGTATAGCTTAGGACCGGGCATCTCTCAGACACACATTTTCTGTGTGACCAGTTGTGGAACTCTGTAGTAACCTCAACTTGTTACAAAAAGAAGCTTCTTTAATGAGTGGTGCGTGGTATACTTGCCTGTAAGTATAAGGATCCCATATTTAGCATGCAATAAGAAATTACATTTGTCTAGGGATATGACAGAGATCAAGTTTTCTCTATAATCCATGACTTCTCCAGCTCTATGTGTTTGGCTATGTTTACAGCTCCACCCATGAGTTCCCCCCACCCCGCCGCCCCGCTCCATTAAGAGGGTTTAACTCCAGTCCAATTAGACAGTTGCTGATGACCCACTAGGTAAAAGTTCCACTACTGCTCTGCTATATTTTGTTGTGCTGGTCATTGTCGTGGTTATTAGGCTTTAAAGCTGGGATTGGACCATTGATTTTTTTTTTTTTCTCCCGTAGCAGCTTGCATAGTATCCTCTGGAACTATGAGAGCTAGTCTTCAGGGAAGAGGCTTCCAGGTCTGGTCCAACTCCATTGCTCCAAGTTCTGTGTCTAGATTATGTCCTGTCTTCAGCAATAGGGTCTTACCTTCAAGTCTGGGCGATTAATCAAGAGTTGTAGCAGTAGCCTGTGTTGTTTGTAGAGTCTCTTGGACTACCCTGCCCAACAACTCAAAGGGTGGTCTCTCCTGTCTTTCAGTGTTTCTTGTTATAGCCTTCAGGCCTTTTGTGTGTATCTGTGTTGCCTGCATGCAAGTCACTTGTGTCATGCAGTGCCCCTGTGATCAGGCGAGGGCATGAAATTCCCTGCAAATAGTTATGAATGGTCATTAGCCACCATATGGGTGCTGGGAACTGAACCTGGGTCCTCTGTAGGAGCAGATAGTTCTCTTAACTGCTGACCCTTCTCTCCAGCCCTAATATCTGATCTTTTTCTTAAAAAGAAAAGATTTTAAGTTTTTATGTCTATGTCTGTGTATCTGTGTGTGTGTCTGCACACATGTGTGAACAGGTGCTAAAGGAGGGCATTGGGTCCC